AGCAAAAGCTTTCTTTAAAAATGAGGAGTGTCAGTCATAGCCCATAAGATAGAGCATTTGGCTTGGCAAAGTTAGTGTTGATGGGAGTCAAACTTACAGCTGAGAGTTTTGTGGCCTTGGGGCCCTGCTGAGGTGTGCCGCTGCAGAAAGCCCTTTCAGAGTAGCTGGGTCGTAGAGTGCGAAAGTGACCGTCTTTTTTAGAAATTAGGTCACTGATCTCAGAGGTGGTATCCTAATTGCCTGTTTTGGCTTCTGTGTATTTTGCTGAAGGACAGTCTTGCAAGTACAGGTGCAAACTAAAGTTAGACACTGCTAGGATTAGGGCTGGCTCTTAAGTTGCAGAGTCATGCTTACACTTGCTCTTTTTTTGTCTGTACCTGCTATAACAGAAGAGTCGGAGGTGCCTAATAAGATCCTTTTCAAGCAGTAAGAGAAAAAGCTTGGATCTTCTGTGCCTTCTGCATACACACAGTGTAAGAAGTAGGTGTGATGTCACCTTTTTTGGTTGTCCTAGTAACAAGTTAAGCTGTTATTCAAGAGAATGTGTACTGGGCTCTGCAGACAGGGTAGGTGGAAGAACTCTTACTTTTGGATTTGCAGCATGAGTTGTTTGTTGCTGTCAAGACTGAATGGATCTGCATGTGGCCAAAACAGAGTGCCAGCGTGCGGATGCACAGGACCAGGCTGCAGCTAAGCAGGGGGGTTGAGCTTGGCAGTTGTGTGTGTGGGGGGAGTGTACAGAATGGATCTAGGTGAGAAAATCAATATTACAAGCAGGAACTATAGAAAAGCCTTGAGATTTACACCATCGCTTCATTGCATGGAATAAGGCAGAAATCCTCCAGAAATAGCGATTTGGGCCTTGACACCACTTAAATGTATGACCACAAGTGGGGCAGAGAGAGGCATAACGATGGGCAAGTTGCTCGGCCTAGGAATAAGTTTTCAATGCCCAATTTAAGTGCAAAACTTTTTTTTTTTTTTTAAATGATTGTTCTAGTAGGTGTATGTGGAAGCAGAGGGTGTGGAATATTACTGCATTATCACGCAGATATTCTAGCCTTGTGTACTCCCCTCTCTTCTTAAAAGTACTTGTGCTTGAACGACATCCTCAGCTGACCCCACAACCCTGAAGCCAAAATGAAGGAAAATCAATTGGTCAGTAGTAGGTACTTCATAGCAAAACATCATTGTAGTACCTACACCTATGCATAACCCACACTGCCGTCACCAGGCTGCTGAATCCATGAAAAAGGATGGATTATTTGGTACTCATCCATCAAGAGACTGGGCAGTAAATATACTAATTGTATATTAGCAAGTATACTAATTGAGCACTAGTGTAAACTGTTGAGGGTAGGTAGCTGGGAATGACCCCATCCCAGTAAACGCAGAGTGTAAAACATGTAATCTCTTTGCCTAGCCAGCAACTCAGAACGATCTGAGGTAGAAGAACAGAAAAGTTTGCAATTCTGTTTCTAGGTGATGTGTTAATGAACGTATCAAGCTGATATTGCTGAAGCAAGAATATCCAGTAATTAGCAGTTATGTCTGTGGTATGAGTCTTACGAGGCAGATAACCACTTTGAAGAACTGTCTGCAGTTCAGCCTGCTGGTGGCGAATGATTCAGGAAGATCTCGGAGATAGTTTCAGAACTGGCTCAGCGGTACAATAAACCACTGCAAGAGAGGAGTCTGAGGAAGGACATCCTTGAGATATGAAAGCAATTAATCTCTAGAGGTGATCCAGAATGGATGCTGCTGTCCGGTCCGAGCTCAGTGGGTGAACTACAGTAATGGGGGTACGTTAACCTGTTTGCTGGAGCAAGGGGAGCAGTGTCCCTGGCATCAAACCGTGGAAGTCAGTTGTACTAATTTTTATTCCTACTACAATTAAACTGGAATCACAATATGATAGGAAGAAAATTGAAGAGTGTTTTTCCTGGCTTACTTTAATTCATACTATTTAAAGTGTCACTGCTTTTTCACACTCACGGTAAAAAAAAAAAAAAGGTGAAGTCACGGCTGAAATGTTTTAAAAATGTCACTCCTGTAGTGTTGACATTCTCTCTTTTTTTCCGTCAATCTTCTATGCCTGTTTTCATTGCACCTTGCTATAAGGATACTGCAGAATTAGAGAAAAAGCACAGCCTGCCTCTGCTGATCAAATTTAGGTCATAGCTGATGCTTCGTAAAAAGCACAATTAGTGTATGATAGCAGCTGATATGCGAGCTCAAAAGAATCTATCAGTTAAAGAAAAAAAACCTCGGATGTGAAGGGCATGTCTTTAGCCAAGTAGCTATTGAAAACCTGATGGAAGTGCTGACTTTTTTAATTTTGTAAAGAATCTTGTTACAATTCAGATTCCTAGAGCTGGGAATGGGAATAAACAATCATTTGGGAGTGGAATTTCTGACTGTAAGATATATTTACAGAAAAGCCACAGGAGAAGTGTTACCATGGGCTTTTACTGCCGGTTAGCTTATTCTCTCTATTTAGGCATGAACATGGTCTGTGCATGAAACTTTTGAGTTGTAAAGTTTCGGTCTGTGCAGCAATACTGTGTTTTGACTTCAAAAGGAGCTCAGGATTATTCTGTGGAATTTATCCTGGAGAACAGGGCTGTTGTAAACACATGGAGTTAAGCTGCAGAACTTTGATTTTTTTTTTTTTTTTTGCAGGAGAGGTCTCCTAGAGTTACCATGCTTCAGAGGGCATTACCTAGTTGTTCACAGCACTGAACAATTCTAGTCTCCTAGTCTACGGGCAAATTGTGAAGTATATGATATTTCAGGGACCTAAACTAATGAATCACGTACTAGTTCAAATTCTGAACAGGGCTTTGCAGGAACCCTGTGCAAAGGCAACGGCAGGAAGAGAGTGATCTATATAAAACAACAGGAATAGGAAATCTGCCGATGTCAAGAGCTTTTCAGAGGCTTGGTCTTTGAGGGGAAAGTCGAGATTCACTGCTGTTCGTAAGGAAGACTGAGGAACAGCTGAGTTTGGTGGGTGGCTGTAGCTGCAGGGAAGGAATCTGTGATGAGGAGACGCGGGATTAGAGATGGCAGAACAATCGCTGTGCCTGGTTCCATTGAATACAGAATTCCTTTCTCAAGAGGGAAGGGGAGGGAAAAAGTTAATCGTAGCCATGGGAAGGGTCACATCTGCCTCAGCTCTTGGAAGATGGACAAAGCACCAGGTCTTTGTGGGGAAACATCAGCTGAGATTTCAGTATGGCAAGCCTGTCGGTGGCCGCACAGTTGAGGCTCCTTGACAGCAGTGGTTTATCAACAGAGACAGAGCTCTCTTCTTTTTGCAAACTATGGTAATAAAGATTGTGCCTCTTGATCTGTGTGCCTTTGCTGTTACAGCTAGAACAGCCTGTAGCTCCTCTTCCTTCTTGAGAAAGGGCTCTACCTGCTGTGTTGATTGATTGAAGCTCACTGGAGACAGAGGAAGATTTAACACTGACTTGAGGGCTTCTCTTCGTAAGTTTAACTAGACAGATAGCCTTAAAACACATTTCAGAGTTTAGATTTGCAGAGGGAGAACACAAAACAGGGAAACACCTGCATTGTTGGGGTGGCAGCAGTGTTGTGACAGTATAAAAGAATTGCTTTAATTAAAATTCTCTGAAGACAGGAAATCCTTCTTTCTAAGCATAACCCACACAAACGGGGTTTTGCTGCTATGCTCAGCACTTGGTAGTGCCGTGGCAGTTGCTACTGCAGAGGTAGCTGATGGTCTGTGTAGGTGCTGTAGAGCTTATTTCCGAAGTCCCCAGGGACTGAACAAGTATCTGCTGGTAGTGAGAGTTCAGTACCTACAGGTCATGTTCCCGCTTCACTCCCTCCAAAACAGTCTCCATCGCTTTGTATTTAAAAACATTCTGGGACCGTGCCACAGAATGCAGAGGCACCATTCTCCAACGGAATCCTGTTCCCATGCCCTTCAGAAGAAAAAAAGACTTTCGAGAATCCCATGTTCAAAAGAAATAGTGATTTTTATTATCCTTAGAAATACATACCTCTTTTTGTAACCGCAAGGCAATACAAGCAAACCTCTGTTACCTATTTATGTGTTAAGTCTATGTTTTTCCAACACACAGTTTCTTTTGTGTCACTTGCAGGAAGATTTGAGAGTAACGAGAGGTAGAACTGCCACAGCCATTTTCCACTCTGACAGGAGAAAACGCAACTATGTATTTTAAAGCCTTTATAAGCCATTTTAAAATAACAGCTATGTGCATCAGAATGTACTTTTCAGGTAAAAACAATTTGAGAAATTATAAATTTAATTAGATTATTAATTAAATGCATTTAAAAAGGGAAGACTTTCAATTTGGAAAAGCCATTTCTGTACAAATGCAAACTTTTGTTGTTGAGGGTATTAAGCTTCAAAGACGGCAAGAATTGAGATTACCTGGAAAAGTACTTCTAGTTTTTCTTTAAAAAAAAAAAAATAAAAGAGGAGGGGGGAGATGAAAGTTTTTCTGATAGTCATTCTCCTTTTACTCTTGGTTAGTTGTCTCTGTGTGGCAGATGAACAAGAAAAGGAAAAAAAAATGCTCAAAAGACAAATTAACAGCATAGAAAATTGTTATTACTTAGACAACTCAAACAACTCGGACATGTTCAGCAACAGAAACAAAAGTCATTTTCAAACTAACTGCATTTCAGTAATAGCTATTCAAACAGCTTATTCCAAAAGATGAAGAATTCTGGTTATAAATGCATCATTTGATATACATTATGTAAATCAAGTTTGTAAAATTTTCAGTTCCAACCAGAATCAAATGAAAGAAAAATCCAAACCAGAGTGACTGTGCTTCTGCAGTGCGGAGCTGTTAGCCCTGTCACAGCCGAGGTGCCTGGCTTAATCACCAGCATTGCTTTGGAAATGTAAACTGGTTTCTCAACAGTTTTCGAGCGTGAATCGTGTTCTAAAGCAAAACCGTGTTCATCTCAAAGTAAGTAACCTTTGCTTTGTGTCACAGGAATCATGTATCGCAAATCCTGCGCGTCTTCAGCAGCGTGTCTGATAGCCTCTGCTGGGTACCAGTCCTTTTGTTCTCCAGGGAAGGTGAACTCTGTTTGTATCAGCTGCTGCAACACTCCGCTCTGCAATGGACCCCGGCCGAAGAAGAGGGGGAATTCGGGCGTGGTGCCGAGGGCACACGCGATAACCACCATTCTGCTCCTTAACTTGGCTCTTCTGTTTTCATATTGCTAAACCTCAAGCAAGTTTTTTGCCCTGACACAGTTTGTTCCGTCTCCTCCTTTCTTCAAAGCCACTGCAATTATATTCTGTTTGTTTCCAAATCCCTGTCAACAGCAAGGGAAGTTCAGTGGTTGTGGGGAGAGAGGGAATGATATTTTTGGCAGCTAATGAATTCAGTTAGCAGATTGAATTTCCAGTGTGCACTTAAAAATCCCAGCAGCAGGATACAGAACTCCTGCTCTTTTGGCATAATTGGAAACAAATCCATCTGTGTTATTCCTTTTAAGATGTAGTCAATTCCTCAGTCATTTTAATTTCCATGTTTTTAAGTTCATTGCTAATCATTAACTTTGCCTTATGAAGTCATACTTGATGTTCACAAAGGCCGTTTTGTGCATCTGGACTGGGCTCTGCGCTAGTCTCTAGCGGCACTGCTTCCGAGCTGGGCTCCGGCGGTTCAAGACCCGGTTTCTGTGGACTGCAGCCAGGCTTGGTCTCATTCTGAAAAGTACTTAAGAAAACTTTGTTACTGCCCCTCGTAGAAGAATTGCGCCTAGACGAAATGAAGAGCAGTGGGCGTAGAGACCGGCTGCTCCTTGCTCTGGAGCTCAGGTTGGCTCTGAGAAACTTCTCCTTGTTGGCATGCTCTATTGTCAGGTGGCAGCGGAGGACCTGCAGGAAGACGCTGCGGAACTGCTGAGAAGAGACGTTGTAGAGGAGGGGGTTCACCACCGAGCTGAGGTAGAAGAAGATGTCGGCGATGGGAAGAAGAACGATGTACGCTCTGAAGTAGGGGACAGTCCAGTCCTGCTTTGGTTTAGCAGCAGCCATGACCCTCCTGACCTGGTTTGGCATCCAGCATATTGCCAGAGTTGCAACAATCAGTCCTGCGAACAGAAAGAGGAAGAAAGAAGTGTGCATACGTGGCGGGGAAAGAAAAACATAAAATACTGACTATCGGTTCTGCACTTACTTGTTAGGAAATAGTACCGATTTTTCAATGTTTTGCTTGACAGCTTTTTCTGCCAGTAGTGTTTTTTTGTTTGTTGTTTTTAATAACTGTTACAAGGTCATTGCAGCACATGCTCTGACAAAAGACTGCATAGGGCTCGGATAGTGTTTCTTTGTACCTATTGTTATTTATTAGTTTTCAAAGTGTTCTTTCATTGATATCTGTTATCTTTGGAAAGAATGCATTTTTATTTTCGTTTGTGTTCCTACATTTCTTACGTCTTTCCCTTTACTTTGAAAAACAAACAAAATAAATAGAACCTATAGCCATATTAGATCAGGCAATACCCAGAAGAGATCAGATTCTTGTTTGTACTTTACAAAAAAAAAAAAAGTATGCGTAATAATATATTTCGTGTTATTTTTGGTAAATTTCCTCTTACAGAAGATATTTTTAAGTAAAAATATGTATGGATCTTTTTACGGTAATTAAGATATGTTGGGCTTTCTTAAAAATCAAATTCCAGTGGAATTAAATTATGAATGTAAATTAGAAAAACCCAAGCCTAGTCATGAAAGTGTAAGCAGTTTCAGATTATAAATTATGCTTAAAAATGTGGTATCTGACCATTTTGTATTTATATGTAAATATAAATACATGTTGCTGCATTACTAGTGGCATTAAAAGGGGGTGACTTAAGTGTTGGATGTCTGAAAATGCTGCCTGTGCGGACCGGCGCTCCCTCGGGCTGTCCGCACGGCACTCTGAAGGAACGTATGGGTGCCTGGAGCAGGCTCTGTTCCCAGGCAGGAGAGGGAGCAGGGGAAAGGTGCCCAAATCCTCATCGGCATCCACTGCTTCTGGCGCACGCAAGCGCTGGAAATCCCGACACCTTGCACGAAATACCGGGTACGCAGAGTAATTCCTCAGTGCCCCCCCCCCAAGCGTTACTCCTGAAACACGCTACAGCCGCCAGTTTACTGCTTCCACTTTGTTTTTCTCTTTGCAGGAAAGGTGCCTTACATGAACGCGTAGAGGGAGCAGAAGTTGCAGGTTGGCTTCCTGCTGCGGAGGCACAAAACAGTAGAGAGTGTCCTGATGGTGCGCAGTTTTCCCTTCCAGTAGGCTTGCGTTACTTTGTTAATCCCCTCCAGTGTCTAGCCCCCTTTCTCAACAGAAGCACAGAGATGTTTTGAGGCGTACCTGTCTGGACTAAGTCAGGTTGCCCCCGTGGAACAGATCACTGTGGGAGCGCAGTTCTGAAATAGTGCGCGCTGGTTTTTCAGGCCAGGAAAATGGTATTTCGCTAGTGGGAAGACGTGAATGTAAGGGGGAAGGGGGGCAGAAAAGAGAAGAAAGATTTTTCTTAACTTTGAAACTGCCAGGGCTTAAACAGGGTATGTCCAGGTTCTCTCCACAACCACCCCCAAGGAAAGAAAAGGTATGAAATGTCTTTTTTTTTTTTTAATGAAATTAATTTTCTTAATAAAAGCTATAATTACTTTAACAAATTTGTGATCTCACTGAATGAGCTACCAAATAAAAGTTGTCTTTTTGATCATTTGCTTCTGTAATCACTTAATGTCACAATAATTCTGGTAGGATGGAGAACCACCCTGTCTTAAACTTAGAGCAGTAGATGAAGAGCCCTGGAAGGCTGCTCCTAGTAGGCAGGTGATAAATGCATTTACCTTCACTATTTTCTGATCTTTAACTAGCACAACTCAGCCACCGTCTCTTTAGTCCCATTCCTCCACAATCCTGTGCCCCTTTGCTTGGCTGCCCTACTCCTCCCCTGCCGCCTTGCCTCGTTTTTCCGTACCTGTTGTGTCTCTGTCACAAGCCGATCGGAATTTTGTGTTAGTCCTGCAAATTTTCTAGCCTTCAGTGCTGTTTTCTGTGCTGTCAGCGTAACAAATACAGGGATGACAGTGGTCCTCGCGTGGACCAACAGAAAATACGGAGCCGCGAGCGGTGACTTGCAGCAGGCCTCATAAAAAGGCAGCAAAGGGATGCCGCTGCTCCGTTGTGGCTTTTTCTCCTGTGCAACTTGGCGCAAAGCCCACAAACCCAGGTCTGCTGAATTCTTGTCAAATTTTACCAGATGATCCCTTTCAAAGGAAAAGAAAATAAGCTCTAAGTGTAATTTTTTTGTTCTTGGTTCGAAAGAGGATACTTCATCATGCTGGTTAATAGTTTCCTAAATTATGAATGCTGCTGTGAGAAACAGTGAGCAAACAATGCGTGCATTCAGTTTTAAAGCTCAAATGCCGTGCTCTCAGATGTCTGATTTTTCACTTGTATCTGAATTCTTTGCCATTGACCTTTCTTTTTAGTTCAAACTGCCAAATGCTTGAGATTTCCCCTTATATTCTTCAGACACTTCTGGGGAGCTGAATATTCCGGCGTGTGTACAGCAAGTGAAAAATGAGCGGCTTGTGCCCTTGCCCAGTGCGGTGAGGTTCGTCTTGTGGGAGGAGATGTCTGTAAAACTTTGCTCTTTTCCAGGGATGAGTTCATTTTTACCCTTGCAAAAAAGGCTTGTTGATTCAAAGGAGACGCACCATGGGAATAAACATGCTGACAAACTCACAGTATTTTTTCCAACTGTTCACGCTTGACGCGGAGGTATGGAGTAAACTGAAGTGCAGCAGAAGAAAAGCTTTATGTTCAGACCTTAGCATATTGAATGTTTTGACTGAATCACTGCTGCCATCAATCTGAACTTGTACACGGGCTGTAGAAGTTTGTGTCGTGCTGTAACGTGCAGAAGGTGCTTAAAGAGGATTGTATCGGCCTGAATGGGAACCAAACGGCATCTTACGCAGTGCTGATGCGGTTTTCCATAGAGCTTGCTGCCTGCTAGGAATCAAACGCCTTCACATTTCATCTCGTATTCAACTTTCCCTTCCACTCCCTCTTATTAAAGTGAAAAAAAGTAGTAGCTCCCTTTTTTTTTTTCCATTTTCCTGACAACGGCACTGAAGTGACACACGAGACGAGAGCAGAGATTTGTCTTCCATGGAATAATGATGTTTATAAACAAAGTAATGCTGTGGTCCAGCGGCCTCCATCACCGGTGCTTGAAATTTCCAGCACACGTTTGAATCACTGGGTTTAATCACCAAAAGTGCATTAGACCATGCCAACAGAAGCCAGGAGACCTCGTGTTCCCTAGTTGACTGTGTGTAAGTGAATACACCTCAACCTTTAACTAAGTGTTTGAGCTTATAATTCATTTAACATTGATGTCCATATTTCAAGGTAGCAACAGCAACAACGAAAGACCTGAAAAGATCCTTGACCAAAACAATTTTAAAAAGCTAAGCCATAAATCAGCGACAAAATAGTTTACCCAAAACAGGAATTATCACAGTCAGCTCCTATTTTAATCTGAAAAAAAAAAAACCCCACCCCAAACCTCTTTAAAAATAAAGCGTACAAATTTAACAGTTACTCAAATGGGGGAATTGTTATTGTAACTTCCCAAAAGTGGATCTCGCAGTATTAATTCTTAATATGTGACAAAGGATCATTTATGTAGTAAAATAAACCTAGCGTTTAAGTGCCAATAATAAAAATATGCATTGCTGGCGCACAGAATAGGAGTTTGGCAGTCGTCTGTCCCTTAGCAATACTTTTTTATTACTCAGAACATTCCTCTGGGCCATAGGGGACTGAATTAAATTCATTATGAACTTTATTGGGAAGGATTTTAAATACATGCAAATGAGCAGTACAGCAGAGAGGGCTTCCTTCTCCACCCTTCCAGATTTTGCTGCTTCTTCTATTGAATAGATTTTTGTCTTTTTTTCTGCATCTGAGCACTTAAGTCTGTCTGCTTTTACAGCCCAACATTTCCCCTCTATCCTGGCCACTGCCAGCCATCCCACAAAACTTGGAGCTGTCTACAAAATCATAATTGTCACTGGGAAATGCCAACAACGCGCTTTATGTGGCTGCCATAGCCCATTAACCGAGGCTGGTGCGGTGACCCCGCGTACGCGCGCCTTTGCCCGGGCCGCTGACCCCTGACCGCCCTGGTCCGTCGGGGTCTGCC